GAACGACCATTTCACAGGGGTCGCCTAAAACCATCGGAAAAACACCGCTCCTGTCTCAGGCGATCTGTGGGCGGGATGATATGCTGCCCCTGTAACCTGGCCACACCTCCGGGATCACTCAACAGCTCCGCCTCCTCGCCGCTGATTGGCCACCGGAACTGTAGCTCAGGAGAGGCACACAGGCGGCCAATCACCGACGAGGAGGTGGAGCTTGGAGAGGAGGAGCCGAGCGGCAGCGCGCGGAGATCGAAGAAGATCGAGGGAGCTGCAGGAGCGAGTGAAGAGAGAGGCCAGAGAAGGAAGACAGCTGACAGGTAAGTGCAAATTTTGCTGCTGCAGCCAGGTATGCAGGCTGTAGATGGGAGAGAGCGAGCCCAGGCTGGAGCAGGAGTCAGCAAGGTAAGTATCATTGGTGTCAGTGGAAGGGATAGTGCCCCATCATTTGTGTCACTAATACCAACGATGGGGCACTATTCCTCCCCCCACTGACACCAACGATGGGGCACTATTCCTCCCCCCACTGACACCAACGATGGGGCACTATTCCTCCCCCCACTGACACCAACGATGGGGCACTATTCCTCCCCCCACTGACACCAACGATGGGGCACTATTCCTCCCACTGACACCAATGATGGGACACTATTCCTCCCACTGACACCAATGATGGGACACTATTCCTCCCACTGACACCAATGATGGGGCACTATTCCTCCCACTGACACCCACAATGGGGCACTATTCCTCCCACTGACACCCACAATGGGGCACTATTCCTCCCACTGACACCCACAATGGGGCACTATTTCTCCCACTGACACCCACAATGGGCACTATTCCTCCCACTGACACCAATGATGGGGCACTATTCCTCCCACTGACACCAATGATGGGGCACTATTCCTCCCACTGATACCAATGATGGGGCACTATTCCTCCCACTGATACCAATGATGGGGCACTATTCCTCCCACTGATGCCAATGATTGTACACTATTCCTCCCACTGACACCAATGATTGGGCACTATTCCTCCCACTGATGCCAATGATTGTACACTATTCCTCCCACTGATGCCAATGATGGGGCACTATTCCTCCCACTGATGCCAATGATGGGGCACTATTCCCCCCACTGACACCAATGATGGGGCACTATTCCTCCCACTGACACCAATGATGGGGCACTATTCCTCCCACTGACACCAATGATGGGGCACTATTCCTCCCACTGACACCAATGATGGGGCACTATTCCTCCCACTGACACCAATGATGGGGCACTATTCCTCCCACTGACGCCAATGATTGGGCACTATTCCTCCCACTGATGCCAATGATGGGGCACTATTCCTCCCACTGACACCAATGATGGGGCACTATTCCTCCCACTGATACCAATGATGGGGAACTATTCCTCCCACTGACACCAACGATGGGGCACTATTCATCCCTCTGACACCAACGATGGGACACTATTCATCCCACTGACATCAGTGATGGGGCGCTAGTCCTCCCACTGCAAAATTACAGTTATGAAGTAGCAACGAAAATAATTTTATGGTTGGGGGTCACCACAACATGAGGAACTGTATTAAGGGGTCGCGGCATTAGAAAGGTTGAGAACCACTGGCTTAGAAGAACCCATGGTGCTGATTGTTGGGGCAAGGTCAGATGAGTCTGGGCATTTAAAACCTTTGAGATTGACTTCACCTGGTCTTCCCAGATGATGATTGAGAACAATCCATGACACTGGCAGGTCTCAGCTTTGCAAAGGGGGCAGTGCATGCTATAAATTTTGCAGGGTGCCCAAACTTTTGCAGACGCCATTTTTTTGTTTTCTGTTATTTTGAAAGTGTAAATGATGGAAATAAAATCTAACTTTTGTTGACATATTATAAGAATGTCTAATCTGTAATTTGATGCCTTTTGGAGATTTTTCCATCTTTCCTTGGCTTCTTTATGCACATTAATACAAATTTTTAGCTGGGGTGCCCAAACTTTCGATCCCCACTGTACATATATATATATATATATATATATATCCACCTCTGCCACCCCCCTCTGCCAATCCCTTCACTGGCTCCCGATTGCCCAACGCATCAAATTCAAACTGCTCACCCTGACCTACAAAGCCATTCACAACACAGCCCCTAACTACCTCACCAACCTGATTCCCAGGTACCACCCTACCCGTACCCTTTGCTCTTCACAGGACCTCCTTCTATCTTGCTCCCTGGTCTCCTCCTCCCACGCACGACTGCAAGACTTCTCCAGGTCCTCTCCTATCCTCTGAAACTCACTACCCCAATCCATCAGACTGTCACCTTCCCTCCTCACCTTCAGGCGCTCCCTGAAAACCCACCTCTCCAGGGAAGCCTACCCCACCCTCACTTAACAGCCATTCTCCTTCATTCCTCCTACCACTCCATCCCCCACAGCCACTTCCTCCTGTACCACTACCCCTTCCCTCCTAGATTGTAAGCTCGAAAGAGTAGGGCCCTCTAACCCCTCGTGTGCTGTTTGTTGTTGCTGTACTGTTTCATGTATTGTCCCCCCCTCTATTGTACAGCGCTGAGCAAACCCTTTGGCGCTATATAAACTCGATGTAGTATTAATAATAATAAATATATATATATATATATATATATATATATATATATATATATATATATATTGCACCGAAATGAAAATTCTGGTGCTGAAACCGAAAATTCAAAATGCACTTGGCCTTAAACTCCATGTACACGGGACACTTCTGAATGATGGAAGCTGACTGCTGGAAACCGTAGGTTAAAAAAAAAAATGTCTGTTTAGCTGTGTTTGCATACCACGTTTGCGTTTAGAAGCGTTTTTTTTTTTAAAGATAACCTCAGGAGACCTTCCAAAATGCTCAGAATGCACTGAGAATCAGTAAAAAAATTAACTATTTCAGACATTTTGAGAGAAATAGAGAGAGCAGAAGCAGAGAGAGCAGTATTTGTTGAGATTAGCTGTCTTTTTTTTTGTGGGGTTTGGATGTGTTCCAGCTCATTTCTGTGCAGAAATTATTGCAGCAGTGTCGAACATATTTTCTTTCATGCGAAACCTCAAAGTATGGTGTACCAGGTCCATTTGAGTACCGGGAAAACACTTTGCATGCATTTTTCATGATGAAAAAAGGCTCTGGACAGTATCTGGAAGAGTTAAACAAGCCTTTGGTGTTTGAAGCGCTGATAAAATCTACTCCTGAACACAAGTTTGGTGCGTTCAAAAAAACGACTGTAAACTCAACTGCCTGTAAATGACATAGTGTACAGAGACACATAGGAAAACATTAGGGTGAGTTCAGGGGCTGCTGGGAAAAAAAAACACAGAAAAGCTCCTAAACGTGAGTTTATCAGCTGCAGTGTACATGGAGCCTTAAAGGGATAAATTCAACAATTGGCTTTGACCAAGTACAGTTATAAAAAAAAAAAAAAAAATTGAAGGACAAGGATGGAAAATTTGTATCAAATCTAATGGAATGAATTAATTTCTAATCGTTGAATTCACTCCTAGCCAAGAAAAATGGTAACTAGTCTTGTGCACATGCACTTGTTAGTCCAGAAGTAGAAAGTTTGTTCTACAGCAATCAAAACATGCTCGAAAGAGCAGGGCCCTCGATCCCCTCATGTTTTGCATTGTATTGTTATTGTTCTGTCACATGTTCTATCCCCTGTTCTGTTGGCGCTTTATAAATACTATATAATAATAATAATAATATAGTAGTCGAACGAAAAATTGTTGAGTCCATGAAGGCATCACTGGATGGTCAGATGAGCAATTTTCATACCTTCTTGTTGGAAAATTTGCCTCTCTATATGTCCTGGTGGTAAACCAGCAGAAAGTGATGGACAATCAAAGATTTTATCATGGTCATTTCAACATTAGGCTTCATTCACACGGCCATTAAAATTTTACTGATGTGTTTTCTCTAGGAGAAATGTTCCTGCCTAATGATCAGTAAAATACTTGTGTATTGATGCATTTAAATGCACAAAGACATATACATAGTTAATGTTTTATGATAATTTGTTTTTCCCTTTGTTTAGGCTTGTATTACGTGCGTACAAATGCATATACATGCGTTTATATGGGCAAGCGTGCAAATCGCATGTTCTCAGAAACAGATTTTTAGATTCGGTGGTACGGATCTGAAAGCAGCTCATGATCACACATCTGCGTGAATGGCTCCATTGAAAAACAAATGCAGCTGCATGCAGATCCGTAATTAAAATACACTTGTATGTGTGTGTTTACAGTGGTGTATTTAGGTTTCATGCTGCCCTAGGCAACACAAAAATTGGCTCCCCCCCCCCCCCCCCCCCACACACACACACAGAGACCTTGACACTGACAAGCACACACACACACACACCCCCCTCCCCCATGACATTGACCAACAGCACCCCCCCCCTCCCACCCCAAGAGAGCCTTCCACTACCACCGCCCCATACACACTGGCAACCCCCCCATCCTGGCAAGAGAGAAGACACTCACCTTCACAGCTGCGGACATCCCCGGGAACAAGAGTCAGGCTCTGCATACACCATCAAGCAGCCTCTCTCAGATCCCACCTGGTCCCTACGCTGTGTGTGTTCTTTCTTCCATCCCTTCTTTTGGGGGGGTGGTGCTGCCCCCCTGAAAAAAAATGCCGCCCTAGGCAAATGCCGTGTGTGTGTATTTTTTTTTTTTTATTTAAATTTTTTTTTTTTTTTAAGTTTACGGTCGTGTGAATGAAACCGAAGAGAGAAAAATCCCACAAAAAGGGAGACACCTATTGCAGTGGCTAATTTTTAAAACAGGATTTAAGCTCACTTCCCCTTGTGCCTCCAGGACAGGAAGTGAAGGGAAGTCTCTCAAGCAGCAAACTGGCAGTAAAAACATATCGCATCAAGAGTTGTAAAAGTTAGTTACTTACCCTAGCCAAAAAAAAAAGTATTAGCTAGAGATTGTAAACTTTAAATGCTCAAAATGTGTATCACCTCTCCAACTCCTCCACAGAGGATGCCTCTCGTTGCTCATATTCCTGTAGTAGCCAGCGAGCGTGATCCAGATCCGTGTCCCCTTCACATTCTTCCTCGTCTGCCACGGCTATATAATAAGACCGAAAGATGTCGCTGGAGTCACTAGACTGTACCGTCTGAGATGTGTCAGTGAGTGAAAGGTTCTGGAGCTGAGATGTCCAGTCTGTGGATGGGCTTTCTGCAGGGCAGCTTGTCACATGCGATACTGCAGGTTCGGTCAGAGATTCAGCGTCATTGTCCTCCATTCCCCAGTTATCAGCGTCATCGCACCAATCTGTAGTGGCCATCTTGTTTTCCTGAACAGGGAAATCTGGATGTAACTATAGCAGCATACACCTATAACAAGGATTAAAACATGAAACTCTGGAATACCTGCTGTGATGAGGTCTCGGTGATTTTTGGTTTATGTCCTTCAAGGCTTTGGGATCGTAATGCCACCCAGCTATGTGCAACATTTAAAAGGAAAAAGAAAAACAGAATAATAATGGCATGACAGCAAGGGAGCAAAAGAGAGGGAGGGAAAGGAAAAAAAAGAAAAATTGCACGAGAGAGAGAGAGAGAGAGAGAGAGAGAAAAAAAAAAAAAAAAAACAAGGGATGGAGCACAAAAAAAACAAAAGCAAAAAAAACCAAAAAAAAACAAAATACACACCAGTAGAGAAAAAAAAAAAACACAACAAAAAAAGTCATATTGCCTGTTTTTTGTATGTTATGCATTAGGCATCAAAGTGGTCTAAGGAGATGAAACATGAAAACTTTTCCTTTCCCAGTTTAGATTGTAAGCTGTTTGAGGATTAGGGACTGATGTGAATGTGCAATATATATGTAAAGTACTGTGTAAATTGACGGCCATATATAAGTACCTGTAATTAATAAAACTGTCTCTCTACATAGTAAAAAAAAACCCATAAAAAAGCATCAATGTGGATTATACTGTATAATATATAAAATACAAAAGGATCAGTAATGCTAAGAAAGTTAGCCAGTACTTGCAGTGAGCATTATTTTGAGATAATGCATGGTTTACCAAGATCACAGTCACCTCTATAGAAGAAAATCACATATTTGTAGCTGGGCAGCACAATGACTAAAGAAGGTTTTATGTTTTTTTTTTCCCCTCTGCTTTCACCTGGTAATCTGGCCAGTAAACACACCTCCTGCATGACTGTGCCTCCACTCTGGATGAAGGAGCACATGGGGCAGTTTTGGGGGGGGGGTGTTAGATGGACTAGCAGATTTACATACACACATTGAAGCCAAACTCCAGCTCACGCTTTATAAGCAGTTAAAGCGAACAGTTTTCTTTTTCTTTTGGGATAAAGGTTTTACACAAAGAAAAGCTGATCATTGTGAGCACCCCTGACAGTGGTAAATGATTTGTCTCATCTCTGTAACTGGTACAATCTGCAAGAGAGCTTGTTCTTTAACCACTTTCACCCCCTTCCTGTCCAGGCCAATTTTCAGCTTTCAGCGCTATCACACTTTGAATGACAATTGCGCGGTCATGCAACACTGTACCTATATAATTTTTTTAGCATTTTTTTGAGACAGATAAAGCTTTATTTTAGTGGTATTTATTCACCCCTAAGATTTTTATTTTTTTTGCTATTTAAATGAAAAAGTCCAAAAATTTTGAAAAAAAGTGTTTCTTATAAAATTTTGCAAATAAATAATATTTCATCATAAATCTTTGCCAAAATTTATTCCGTTATCTTTTTAGTAAAAAAAAAAAAAAAATAACACAAATTAGTTTATAACCAAAAATTATCATTTTTAAAAAAACGTTTTTATATTTTTTTTTATATTATTATTTATGTGGTTTTTTTTTTTTACTACATACTGTCACCCTAGCAGTACGGTGTCACCATGGTGACACGGTACTACTTTTGGGGTGTGATGAAGATTTTTTTTTTTTTTTTTTTTTTTACACTGATTGGCTGAAGGCTGTAAAAGCAATCATTCCTCCTTCTCTCTGGCTGCATTCTTACAGCCATTGAGAACTACTGAGTGAGCTGTGATTGGTCACAGCTTGTCACATGGTACAAGGCTGTTGTGAATAGCCTTGTACCATGTGACCTCTGTGATCAGTCACAGATTTCACACGTAGTAAGCAATGATGTCACACGTGACATCTTGCTTACTACTCTGGATATGATCACTGATTGGCCAATCAGTGATCACATGATCGGGACCTCACACAGAGGTCCCGTCCAACGATCGGTGTTCCACTGTGTCCGGAAGATACAGCGGGCACTGGATCGCGGTGCTGCGCGCTCTGAGGGAGTGCGCACAACTAGAAAATGCAGGTGCCGTTTATGAACGGCAACCCGCCCCTAGAGTGACACCGTCCTGCCATTTAAAAACAGCAGATGGACGGCAAGTGGTTAAAAAAAACAGACGTATTGGCTATGTCAGCAGAAGAAAGTTGTTTTTTTTTTTTTTTTTTAGGCTGTCTAAGAACTGGCAAGCAGTGCAATTGCAATATAATAAATGTTTTATTTTGGGTTTAAAAGGAGAAGTACAGCCAAAGCTCTTTTGGCTGTACTTCTCCTGTGGATTAGAGGGGTGCAGTTTGTTCTGCACTCCTGTGACCCGTTCTCAGCTGACAGTGGGCTGAAGCCCGCTGTCGGCTGACATCACTCAGCCAGTCCAGGCTGGGGAAAGATCCCAACTTTAAAGTCAGGATCCACCCCAGAGTCTGGAGCGGCACTTGGCTCAGCCTCTCAGTTAGTCGCTGACAGCCTAAGCCAGCCACTCCCTCCCCCTCCACAGCCCAGCACTCCAGTGAGTGCGAGGGGCAAAGCAGACCGGTGACTGACAGTGACCACTCTCTGCTCTTACAGCGGCAGTGAGAACTCAGTGGTCATGTGATGGCCGAGTTCTCACACTTAGACCCCGGTCACATCAAAGCTGATTCTGAATTGTGTTACTTACTTGATTTGCAAGACATCTGACAGAAATCGGTGCGGCTCCAACCAAGTCTGAACTGCACCAATATGACCACTCTAATAGCGGACAATGGGGTACGACTTGGCATACGATTTTCAAGTCGCATAGCATGCAAATCGCACCCGATGTGACCGGGGTGTTAGAGCTGGTGGGGGACAGATGCAGCATTCACTTGGGTAAGTAAGATTTACCCCTCCCAAAAAAAATTAAGACCCCCTACTTCTCTTTTAATACCACTTAAAAAAAACTGAGATCCTCTGGAAGATCTAGAAACTACTAGATGTTTGAAATCTTCCTCCTCCTCAAAAACTCATCCCACAAAGTCCATCCAGTTCAACAATAAAAAAAAATAAAAAGTAATAGTCCTATACCAACAGTTGATCCAGAGGAAGGCAAAAACCCAGCAAAGCATGATCCAATTTGCTCCTGCAGGGGTTTTGCATGTGCTCTGCCTCTGCTGAACAGCACTGTCCGGACAGAGGGTCAGGGGTCCTGCATCCTCCTACAGCAGAATGAAAACTCCTCCCACAAGCTTGAACATGTGCTCTGCCTCTGCTGAACAGCACTGTCCAGACAGAGGATCAAGGGTTTTGCAGTCTCATAGAATAATAAGGGCTGAATGAAAAAAACTCCTCCTACAAGCTTTAACTAGTGCTCTGCTGGACAATGATAGAAGTCATAAGACTGCTATATAAAGCTGATGAGAAAAAGGTATTTAGCAGTTTATATTTACTAAAATAATTGCATTTCCATGTTCTGTGTACTGTGGGAGGCCAGATATAGTGAATGCGGGGTCCTGGGAGGCCAGATATAGTGAATGCGGGGTCCTGGGAGACCAGATATAGTGTCCTGGGAGACCAGATATACTGTAGAGAATGCAGGGTCCTGGGAGACCAGATATAGTGAATACAGGGTCCGGGGAGACCAGATATAGGAAATGCAGGGTCCCGGGGAGACCAGATATAGGAAATGCAGGGTCCGGGGAGACCAGATATAGGAAATGCAGGGTCCGGGGAGACCAGATATAGGAAATGCAGGGTCCGGGGAGACCAGATATAGGAAATGCAGGGTCCGGGGAGACCAGATATAGGAAATGCAGGGTCCGGGGAGACCAGATATAGGAAATGCAGGGTCCGGGGAGACCAGATATAGGAAATGCAGGGTCCGGGGAGACCAGATATAGGAAATGCAGGGTCCAGGGAGACCAGATATAGGAAATGCAGGGTCCGGAGAGACCAGATATAGGAAATGCAGGGTCCGGGGAGACCAGATATAGGAAATGCAGGGTCCGGAGAGACCAGTTATAGTGAATGCAGGGTCTGGGGAGACCAGATATAGTGAATGCAGGGTCTGGGGAGACCAGATACAGTGAATGCAGGGTCCGGGGAGACCAGATATAGTGAATGCAGGGTCCTGGGTTTATTAACACTTTAAAAAGCAGGATACGGTTTTAAAATGTGGAGCTGGTAAAAGCACTAATTATACCCAAGTAACTCAGGAAGGAATTTTTTTTCCCCTGCAGGAGCAAATTGGATCATGCTTTGCTGGGTTTTTGCCTTCCTCTGGATCAACTGTGGGTGTAGGATTATAACTTTTTTTTTTTTTTTTTTATTGTTGAACTGGATGGACTTTTGTATTTTTTCAGCCAAACTATGTAAATCTTTCTTTCCTTCCCTACAATACAAATGCAGCTAATTAGCATGCTAATGCCAGACACTTCTGTTTCTGCTCATTAGAGATTATTTAGATCTATTCAGCCATAGCATGCCTAGGAGACACAACTTTATCCGCACATTGCTGGAATGAGACATGGAAACACTATAGAAGCAAGGCTTGTATTTGGATAAGGCAGGGAGGATGCATTTTACCACTTACAAAAGTTAGTCATAAGTCAAAAGTTATTACCTTTCAGGTCTCCCCCAGCAGGACTTCCTTCTACATGCAAATACATGGATGAGACGGTGGAAGAGTGAGCCCTCTAGGGGGCAGTATATCTGTACAACATGGCAGAGGGGAGCAGAGCACAGAGGACAAGCAGGAAAACAGAGTGTCACATGGGGGGGGGCGGGTCCTGTCAAAGAATCAAAATGGGTAACTGTCATAACAAATATGTTCTTAAATCCCTTCAATAAACAAAAAGGTTTTTTTTTTTTTCCAAACTGGACTGAATAATATCTAAAAATCCTGCACAGAGATACCTTCCCTCTACGTCTATCCGTGTACAAACCCTGCCAACTCAAAGCAGAACTGAAAGCAGACCCAAAACCAAAAATGTAATATATTGCAGCTTACCATTCATTAAATGTGGTGGCTGCATTAGTTTTCATTTTCAGGCTTTTTTCCCCGTTTTCACCTGATGATTTGGCCAGTAACACACCTCCTGTATTAGAGTGCCCCCACTTTGGATGAAGGAGCACAGGGGGCACATTTGGGCAGAACGGTCAGTCTGGGGGAGAGGGGAATGTTAGATGTACTAGCAGACTTAGATACACTAACAAATTGAAGTTGAACTCCAACAAACGTGTTATAAGCAGTTACAGCAACCAGTTTTTTTCCTTTTGGGACAAAGGTTTAACATTAGTAAATAAAAGCTGATCATTTTAAGCATGCCTTCTAGTGTTAAATGGTTTGTCTCATCTCTAAGTGCAAGAGAGCTTGTTCTGTTGAAAAATGGCAGACTTACTGGCTGGATCCCCAGGTAAAAAATAGAAACCATAAAACTAATGCAGCCATCACATCTATGAATTGGTAAGCTGCAATATAATAAATGTTTGCTTTGGGGATTAATACTGCTGGACGTCTTCCGATAATAAGGCTATGATCACAGAAGAGACACACAAGAACAGCCCGTGGAGACATTTTCTATATTCATGCATTTGAATTGCAGAGCATAGAACCTGAGAACATTCGACTTTTTCCATTCTCATGAAACAAATTTATGTGCAGTTTGAACAGCTATACAATTTTTTTTACAAATACACCCCTTGGGCCTTGTTTAGACTTGCGGTTGGAGGCAGAAAAAAAAACACGGTTGAGGTGCATTTTTGCCACCCGCCAACCATCCCCCTCCTTTCCCTTAAATTACAATAGGCAGCAGACAGAGATGTATACATGTCATGGCCTTGATGCTTCACTTTGTGTCTGCGGCAAAGTTGACCCGTTATGTAGCGCTCAACGGGCACATTCAAGTCAAAAGGGCAAAGCAAGCAGCTGCACCACTTTTTTTGGCTAAAATGGGGTTAAAACAGGTGGTGAGGAGCAGGGGCGGACTGACCATTTGGAAACTCGGGCACTGCCCGAGGGCCTGGAGCCAGTAGGGGGCCCCATGAGATGCCCCTGGTACCTTTTTCATAGGCCTTTTTGAGTTTGGGCAAGGACACAGGAGCCCCATGATCCCCTATTGCCCGGGGGCCACATGAGTTGTCAGTCCACCCCTGGTGAGGAGGCATCACATTGCTTCCTCCCCGCCTGCCAGTAGCCTCTAGAGTGCGATCCGAACGCAGATCGGGCTTCAGTAGGAAGGGGGATTTAGACCCGTGTCTTAGCATTTTACCAGCCCATTCGTTATTTTCTTTTATAGGAAAACTGATCACTTACCGGCAGCCCACCTATCTTGCTCCCATCCCAGGAGGAAGTGTTCTCTTCTAAAGCTGCATCTTTAAATCCCAAGAGGACCCTCTGCTCACCGGAGAGCGCCATCACTTCAGGCAGTAGTAAAGCCACATTGGGCAAAAATCTGTGTCGTCTATTTATCTGCCGTAAAACAGAAGGACACTGCAGGGAAATCAAATGATTATCAGATGACTAAAACAGCAGTAATAGTGTGCAGTTATTACCATGTGTACATATATATAAAGGTATCATGATGTACTGCAATGGACAGAAAACATTAACTCCACTATACTACATCCTTTTAAGAGAATGGCATCTACAGTCATGGCCGAAATTGTTGGCACCCTTGATATTTCTCCAGGAAATCATGTATTTCTCACGAAACGTATTGCATTAACACATGTTTTGCTATACACATGTTTATTCCCTTTGTGTGTATTGGGACAAAACAAAAAAAGGGAGGAAAGAAAGCAAATTCGACATAATGTCACACAAACCTCCAAAAATGGGCTGGACAAAAGTATTGGCACCCTTTCACAACTGCGGATAAATAAGAATGTTACAAGCATGTGATGCTCCTGTAAACTCACCTGGGGCAAGTAACAGGTGTGGGCAATATAGAAATCACACCTGAAAGCAGATAAAAAAGGAGAGACGTTCACTTAACCTTTGCATTGTGTGTCTGTCTGTGCCACACTAAGCATGGACAACAGAAAGAGGAGACGAGAACTGTCTGAGGACCTGAGAACCAAAATTGTGGCAAAATATCAACAATCTCAAGGTTACAAGTCCATCTCCAGAGAACTAGATTTGCCTTTGTCCACAGTGCGCAACATTATCAAGAAGTTTGCAACCCATGGCACTGTAGCTAATCTCCCTGGTCGTGGACGGATGAGGAAAATTGATGAAAGATTGCAACGCAGAATAGTCCGGATGGTGGATAAGCAGCCCCAAACATGTTCCAAAGACATTCAAGCTGTCCTGCAGGCTCAGGGAGCATCAGTGTCAGCGCGAACTATCCGTCGACATTTAAATGAAATGAAACGCTATGGCAGGAGACCCAGGAGGACCCCACTGCTGACACAGAGACATAAAAAAGCAAGACTACAGTTTGCCAAAATGTACTTGAGTAAGCCAAAAGCCTTCTGGGAAAACGTCTTGTGGACAGATGAGACCAAGATAGAGCTTTTCGGTAAAGCACATCATTCTACTGTTTACCGAAAACGGAATGAGGCCTACAAAGAACAAAACACAGTACCTACGGTAAAATATGGTGGAGGTTCAATGATGTTTTGGGGTTGTTTTGCTGCCTCTGGCACTGGGTGCCTTGACTGTGTGCAAGGCATCATGAAATCTGAGGATTACCAAAGGATTTTGGGTCGCACTGTAGGGCCCAGTGTGAAAGCTGGGTTTGCGTCCAAGATCCTGGGTCTTCCAGCAGGACAATGACCCCAAACATACGTCAAAAAGCACTCAGAAATGGATGGCAAAGAAGCGCTGGAGAGTTCTGAAGTGGCCAGCAATGAGCCCAGATCTAAATCCCATTGAACACCTGTGGAGAGATCTTAAAATTGCTGTTGGGAAAAGGTGTCCTTCCAATAAGAGAGACCTGGAGCTGTTTGCAAAGGAAGAGTGGTCCAAAATTCCGGGTGAGAGGTGTCAGAAGCTTATTGATGGTTATAGGAAGCGACTGATTTCAGTTATGTTTTCCAAAGGGTGTGCAACCAAATATTAAGTTAAGGGTGCCAATACTTTTGTCCAGCCCATTTTTTTGGGGTTTTGTGTGACATTATGTCATATTTGCTTTTCTGCCTCTGTTTTATATTTGTTCCAATACATACAAAGGGAATAAACATGTGTATAGCAAAACATGTGTTAATGCAATACCTTTTTTTGTGTGAAATACTTGATTTTCAGGAAAAATATCAAGGGTGCCAACAATTTCGGCCATGACTGTATACTGCACTCTGAAAAGGTAGGTGTGTGCGCGCGTCTGTGTGTGCGTCTCTGCGCGCACATGTCTGTGTGCGCGTGTCTGTGTGCGCGCGCGTCTGTGCACGAATATGTCTGTGTGCGTGCGTGTGTCTGTGTGCCTCTGTGCGTGTCTGTGTGCGCGTGTCTGTGCGCGTCCCTGAGCGTGTCTGTGTGCACGCGTGTACGTGTGTTTGTGTGCCTGTGCGTCTGTGTGCCTGTGTCTGCGTGTGTGTTTTCAATCCCATGCAGGTTTTTGTATTGAAACTGACCTCAATGAGTATGTTTGTACCTATACCACACTTTCTGGATGTAAAGTTAGGATTTAGGTGGGTGGTTGGGGGTAAATGGGGGGGTGCAGATCGACAGATCTCTTGCCCCACCAGGAGACCTGAGCGGCCAGCCAGCACATCTGCCGAACAAAGCAGCTTTGAACAGCTATCCGCTATAATAACCCGGAAGCAAAGATCTGACATCACTAAACGGCGCCATTTAAAAAAATTTAAAGCATTCAAAAACACAGATCTTGGCGTTTTGAATGCTTTTTAGTGCAGAGGAGATATTTGGTGTCTTTTTGACCCCAGATCACTCCATAAAGAGTACCAGTCACAACCCTATTGCTGTCACAGGGCATGTTTGCATTGCTTGTGACAGCAATAAAAGTGAATAAAAACAAAACAAAAAAGCAACAGTGTAGAAATAGAAAATGATATATATTATTAATTGGAAAAAAAAATAAAATTAAAGTGCCCCCGTCTACATCCGCTAGTCCATAGAAATATATGTGTGTCCATTTTTTTCATCTTATTTACAATAAGTGGGTTATGTATCGTGTTTATTTACGTTAAAATTCAAGAAAGTTTCCCAAAAAACTGTGACTGAAAAAGCGCTTCGCAAATACCATGCGTCATAAAAAACTGCACACAACCCACCAATTTATTCTCTAGGGTAGTGGTTATGAAATGGTGGAGCGCGGTCCGAGAACGGCCCCATCATTGCTTCCTTCTGGACTGCCAACCTGCAATGACAGATCTGCCGCTGAGCAGGGCGGTCATCACGGCAACCGATGACATCACGTGTGCGCCCCGCCCTTTGCAGCTCACGGTCTCTCTGGCTCCCGCTCCCTGCCTGTGCACAAGAATCCTTCAGCAAGAATCCCGGCAGAGATCCTGTCTGCCCTCAAGGTAGGGAGTGGACTTACAGCGGCACCTTGATGGGCACATTGAATGTTAAGGGGGCACAAATGGGCACATACTGTGGGAATGAGCACTCTGATGGGGAATATGATGTAAAGGGGTACTTTGAGTGTAAGGGGGCACTCTGATGGGGATACCCGATGTAAGGTGGCACTCTGATGGGGATACCTGATGTAAAGGGGCACTCTGATGGGCACACCGGATGTAAAGGGGACTCTAATGAGCACATCTGATGTGAAGGGGATACCTGATGTAAAGGGGCACTCTGATGGGGATACCTGATGTGATGGGGACAACTGATGTAAAGGGGCACTCCTGATGTGTTGGGGATACATGATGTAAGGTGGCACTGTGATGGGGATACCTGATGTAAAGGGGCACTCTGATGAGCACACCGGATGTAAAGGGGCACTCTAATGAGCACATCTGATGTGATGGGGACAACTGATGTAAATAGACACACCTGATGAAAAAGGGAACACCTGATGTAAGAGGCACTCTGATGAGCACACCTGATGTAAGAGGGGCACGCTGATAGACACACCCTATTCGGACCTCGGCCAGAAGGAAATGTTAGTGACCGGACCTCTTTGAATTCTAGTTTAATACCCCTGGTCTAGGGGGACACAGGGGCGGACTGACAACTTCTTTGAGAGACAAGAATTACTGTCCGATCACCAAATGAAAACAGGAAAGCCTAAAACAGAAAACTAATGCAGCCAGCACATGTAAGAATCGGTACGCTGCAATGTAATGAATGTGTGCTTGGGGCGGAAGGCTGCTAGAAGTGGCTGCAGTTCTAACACGCTGGAGGTAACGAGGATTCCTGATTTAGCGGCGACCTGCACCAAGCCCATAATGCACACAAGTCATTCCCCTATGAGGAGCCCTATGGACTGGTTACCTGAAGTTGCAGCTCCTGGTAAGATCAGCTGCAGCTTCCATCTACCATGACCTGTGTGCAGGCCTCATCCGGCACATGTGCGGAGTGCAGCCAGTCACACAAACTACGGGGGGTATTACCTAAACTTCCAGCACTGTTAAGAGATCCGTGATTGGTGCAAAGCTGACAGCTGTCACCGTCTGCTTTTTTTATTGACACAAAACTGTCCTATCCGGTGGTCCCCCGGAGACCAATCAGCGATCAGTATGTAAATCTCTTCCTGCTATTCACACGCGCTGGAATGGGAGGGGAGGGGGGAAATGGGCGGAGCCTCATCTATTGACCCTTTCCTTGCCGCCGTGTGCGGGGTGGTGAGAGAACTGTGCTGTCATCTCCTGTGTATAGTGATGGGGCCCCGAACTGGCCGACTTGTACAGTCCACACCGACCATACTCCGGATCCACACAGCACCGACTCATTGTACAATCTTCCACCACACACCTTACAATTTACCACGATATGCCCTACAATCCGATTGTACAATCGGATTGTGTGGTGGGAGATTGTACAATCGGATTTTACTTCTACAATCTCCCATCACACACCTTACAATCCGATTGTACAATCTCCTTTAAACCTACCAACAGCCATGTAGCAAGGACCTGCCTGATTGGATACAGATGGATTGGATGGATTAGGCAGGTCCTTGTAATATATAGTTTGAGTAGATCCAAGGTGGAGGTTACAGTCAGATTGTAACAAGTAAGGTGACGATACACGCTTCAATAAAAAAATCGATTTATTTTCCAATCTTTTCCAATGGAAATAATTGATCTATAGTTGGCAATCGATTGGATGGATGTGCCACACACAGGGAAGCAGATTCTGATTGCTAGTTAATATAAGATGATATATCGCCCAATCTGATTGGCCGGAATATGATTGTATTCATGAACAAAGTATGTCAGTGCTGCCGATTGGTGCAGGATGGTCGATAATCTGCCCTGACCAATGATGTCAGATGTAGGCGGAGTCTAAGGCTGCCTACACCCTCATCCATTTTTTGCGTTAAAGCAGAATAAAATCACCCGGCCATGAGCCCTCCGACCGCTCCCCTCCGGACGCCCCTCACACCGCTCCCCTCCGGCGCCCCTCACACCGCTCCCCTCCGACGCACCCTCCCCTCCGACACACCGCTCCCCTCCAGCACCACTCCCCTCCGTCGTCCCTCACACCGCTCCCCTCCGTTGCCCCTCACACCGCTCCCCTCCAGCACCACTCCCCTCCGTCGTCCCTCACTCACGACCGCTCCCCTCCGTTGCCCCTGCCCCTCACACCGCTCCCCTCCGACGCCCCTCACACTGCACCCATCAGGTGCCCCTCACACCGCTCCACTCCGTCGCCCCTCACACCGCTCCCCTCCGACGCCCCTCACACCGCTCCCCTCCGTCGCCCCTCACACCGCTCCCCTCCACCGCTTGCCCCTCACACCGCTCCCCTCCGTCGCCCCTCACACCGCTCCCCTCCATTGCCCCTCACACCGCTCCCCTCCGTCGCCCCTCACACCGCTCCCCTCCGTCGCCCCTCACACCGCTCCCCTCCGTCGCCCCTCACACCGCTCCCCTCCGTCGTCCCTCACACCGCTCCCCTCCGTTGCCCCTCACACCGCTCCCTCCAGCACAGCTCCCCTCCGATGCCCCTCACACTGCTGCCATCAGGCGCCCCTCACACCGCTCCCCTCCATTGCCCCTCACACCGCTCCCCTCCGTCGCCCCTCACACCGCTCCCCTCCGTCGTCCCTCACACCGCTCCCCTCCATTGCCCCTCACACCGCTCCCTCCAGTACCGCTCCCTTCCGACGCCCCTCACACCGCTCCCCTCAGGCGCCCCTCACACCGCTCCCCTCCGACGCCCCTCACACCGCTCCCCTCCATCGCCCCTCACACTGCTCCCCTCCAACGCCCCTCACACCGCTCCCCCCGTCCCCGTCGCCCCTCACACCACTCCCCTCCGGCACCGCTCCCCTCCGTCGTCCCTCACACCGCTCCGCTCCGTTGCCCCTCACACCGCTCCCTCCAGCACCGCTCCCCTCCGACGCCCCTCAAAACGCCCCTCAAACCGCCCCGCTCCCCGCTCCTCCGTTGCCTCTCACACCGCTCCCCTCAGTCGCCCCTCAAACCGCTCCTCCGTTGCCTCTCACAGCGCTCCCCTCCGTCACCCCTCACACCACTCCCCTCCCCCTGCCTGCTGCATTTGTGGCGCATGCTTGATGCGATAAAAGACGCCCCTTCCTCCACATATGAAACCGCAGGCGTGGTTGTGTTTTTGGTATGTTTTTGAGTCACATGTCGGGTGAAAAATGCAGCAGAAACGCAGCAAAAATGCCCGTGTGTTTCTGCACCTGAGAAGTGTGAAAGGAGCCGAAATCGATCAGACGGGAAGCTCTGGCTCTTTGATTGCAGATTCGATCGTTTTGATCAGGCAATAAAATCGGTGTGTGTGTGTGTGGTTGTCTTTAGGCTGAGGATTGTATCCAGCTGTCATGTGATCTCCGGAACTATTCCCATTCTGGGCCCATTCACCCGGCAATCAGTGTCTGTCTGTGGCGGAGTTCCTGTGAGCAGCCGGGGAGTCTGTACAGATCGATGACAGGAGCCGCAGCTGTGCGGGACTGTTCACAGGGGACCACACATCTGCCTTGTACACGCAGATGAGCGGCATTGTCTGCGTCTAATCAAATGATCACGTATGACGTGCGGGTACACAGTCGCAGCACATGGCAGCCTGACATCAATTTGTACCGACTTCCTGTCCACCGATTATCACCCCTCACTGATGACTGCAGTGTTCAGCCCTAACAGGGGAGGGACCTCCAGCTGATTGACAGCCTCAGCTCTGTTCCTGGGAGCTGTGTGTGGAGGGGGGGGGGTGTCCCTTCCGTCCAATCAGCTCTCAGAACTCTCCTCACTGAGCTCTGCAGGGTGTATGGCAAGTTGCACCCGGAGTGACTAGGGTATCAGTGTCATTTCTGTCCACTGCATAATTTCATTGCTATCAGTATGCGTCACTTCTGACCGGTTTTCCTGACACCAAGAGAAAAATGGTGACAGGGGAGGGACCTCCAGCTGATTGACAGCCTCAGCTCTGTTCCTGGGAGCTGTGTGGAGGGGGGGTGTCCCTTCCTTCCAATCAGGTCTCAGAGCTCTCCTCACTGAGCTCTGCAGAGTGTAACTTCACCTCGCCGCCTCTTTTTTTGTCTGAACTCTCAGATAAGCTTTAGAAATTCTGCACTTTGAATGGATGTAAGGGAAAGATGGCTACAGATAAACCGGTATAACTTATATGGGAGGATTTGTTTCATTTCTGTGTATCACCTGAGGCCACTCATTTCACTAGGTATATGTGAGGATTTACAACCATTTTAAAGTGTTTCTAAACCCAGGACCCTGCATTCACTATATCTGGTCTCCCCGGACCCTGCATTCACTATATCTGGTCTCCCCGGACCCTGCATTCACTATATCTGGTCTCCCCGGACCCTGCATTCACTATATCCGGTCTCCCCGGACCCTGCATTCACTATATCCGGTCTCCCCCCGGACCCTGACCCTTCACTATATCCGGTCTCCCCGGACCCTGCATTCACTATATCCGGTCTCCCCGGACCCTGCATTCACTATATCCGGTCTCCCCGGACCCTGCATTCACTATATCCGGTCTCCCCGGACCCTGCATTCACTATATCCGGTCTCCCCGGACCCTGCATTCACTATATCCGGTCTCCCCGGACCCTGCATTCACTATATCCGGTCTCTCCGGACCCTGCATTCACTATATCCCGGTCTCCCGGACCCTGCATTCACTATATATGGTCTCTCCGGACCCTGCATTCACTATATCCGGTCTCTCCCGGACCCTGCATTCACTATATCCGGTCTCCCCGGACTCTGCATTCACTATATCCGGTCTCCCCGGACCCTGCATTCCACTATATCCGGTCTCCCGGACCCTGCATTCCACTATATCCGGTCTCCCCGGACCCTGCATTCACTATATCTGGTTTCCCCGGACCCTGCAGTCACTATATCCGGTCTCCCCGGACCCTGCAGTCACTATATCTGGTCTCCCCGGACCCTGCATTCACTATTTCGGTCTCCGGACCCGGACCCTGCAGTCACTATATCTGGTCTCCCCGGACCCTACAGTCAGTATATCCGGTCTCCCCGGACCCTGCATTCACTATATCGGTCTCCCCGGACCCTGCATTCACTATATCCGGTCTCCCCGGACCCTGCATTCCACTATATCCGGTCTCCCCCGGACCCTGCATTCACTATATCCGGACTCCCCGGACCCTGCATTCACTATATCTGGTCTCCCCTGACCCGGCATTCACTATATCTGGTCTCCCCTGACCCGGCATTCACTATATCTGGTCTCCCTGACCCGGCATTCACTATATCTGGTCTCCCACAGTACACAGAACATGGAAATGCAATTATTTTAGCAAACATTAACTGCTAAATACCTTTTTCTCATCAGCAATTAAAGCAGTCTTGTGACTTCTCCAAGTGTCCAGCTGAGCACTGGTTACAGCTTGTAGGCCGAATTTTCATTCTCCCCTGATTGTCCTATGAGGCTGCAAGACCACTGACCTCTGTCTGGACAGTGCTGATTGGCCCTGTGCTGATCACATGCACGCTCCCAAGAAAAATGAAAAACTCTCTAGCAAACTGAGCATGTGCAGAGTGACTCCTAGAGCTCTGTACTATTAGCAGATGGATTGGGGACAGTGGAAGAAGGGGAGGATCAGAGAAGTCAGGATGAAACAGCCTTTTTACACAATGCAGAGGATTAACCCCTTAGGTTCCACAGTGAGTATAACAAGCATGCTTTACTGCATATACAGACTGATTTTACTGTTGTTGGTTTTGTAGCACTTTAAGGCACAATTTGGATGAGATTTGATCAAACTGAGTCGATCGGCCAGGGAGGAATGCGGCCATGTGACTGAGGACTTACGGCTATACACACTGCGATTCTTTTAATCCCATTGATGTGGGATTCGATCAGAGCAATCATATCTGCAACCGATTAAATAACTTCCCTCCCGACCAATTAAAAAAGTTGTACACCTCAGACATGACATATGAACAAAGCATATCCCTCTGTAGTGTGTACTTGTCTCAATCCAGAGCACTAAAGCTCCATTCACACTTGTGTGACTCCAAAGTCACACAATTTCCAGGACGACTTTGATCCAACTTTACACGATCTGGAAATAAGTCACATCTAGGTAGTGCAGGAGCCTTTAAATAAATAATGAGAAAAAATTCTAATGGGTGCCATTGAAAAAATGGGCTGCAACTTGGCATAACAAGTGGCACAGGTGTGTATGGAGCCTAATACCCCAATCACACTGATCTGACTTTGAAATCACTGGAAGTCGCACTATTTCAAAGTCGAATCTCATTCCAGCTTGAGGTGCGACTTGCAAGACATCTGAGGCTTGCAAGATGCAGATGTCTATGCAAATCGCACCTGAAGTGGTGCAGGCACTACTTTAGAAGTCAGTGCGGCTCCGACCAAGTCTGAATCGCACCGGCATGACTACTTTAATTGCGGACCATAGGATGTGACTTGCATCTCGCATGGCAAATCGCATGGCAAGTCACACCTGATGTAAGTGTCATCTCTGTCCATTGCTATCAGCATGAATCACATCTGACAAGGTTTCCTGACACCAAGAGAAAAATGGGGACAGGGGAGGGACCTCCAGCTGATTGACAGTTCACCGGGTATTGGCATCCACTTTAAGTCACCAGTCACACCGCTGCGGTTTACAATTGTGAGAGATTTGTGTGCAATTTTGGTGCGATTTCTGAAGACCTTAGTGCTACTTGTGATTTTCAACGATTTCTTGCAATTCGTGGGATTTCCGTTCTATTCTACGTATGTGAAATCACAACAAAACTGCGGCAAAAGTAATGCGAGAAATACTTTAGAAATCGCTCTGCAGCAAATCGCACATTAGGACACTGACCTTCACATTCATGAGATGCGATTTCAATTCCAAATCGCACCAGTATGGCCGGACACTAAGCCTCAATTTGGAGATTTAATCAAACGGAATCGGTCGGCCAGGGAGGAATGTTATTGATCACTTTGCATTGATTATCAGGATGAGATACTTTGTTGATTATTATTATTATACAGGATTTATAGAGCGACAACAGTTTGCTTTACAATATAATGGGAGACCAGGGGCGGACTGACAACTCATGGGGCCCCCCGGGCAATAGGGGATCATGGGGCCCCTGTGTCCTTGTCCAAACTCAAAAAAGTACCAGGGGCATCTCATGGGGCCCCCTACTGACCCCGGGTCCTCGGGCAGTGCCCAAGTTTCCAAATGGTCAGTCCGCCCCTGCAGGAGACAATACAGTTCAATACAAGAGGGATAGGAGGGCCCTGATCCTGCGAGCTTACAATCTAGGAAAATCTACACAAGTAGCACAAATGCAGCCCATAGACAGGTTGAACATCAGCCGATTTTTCGAAAGATAAATGAAAAATCGGTCGTCGTTCGTTAAGCCGACGTTACCACAAATGATTAAAAAAAAAAAATCGGCCGACTAAATCATAAAGTTCACCCCATATAACAGCCAAACTTCTGTCCCTTGCAGGTCACGGCTCATGCGCAAATTTTTTTTCATTTAAAACGATCGGCCGATTTGGCCATCATTGCCGCAAAAACTGTCCGTTTTCCGCAAATTTTCCAAAATGACTGATAAATCTAAAAGTGAAACAAAAAACGAAAACCGGCCGACCAATTAACCCGCTAACAGTGCAAAAATCGTCCGATTTTCGCACCGTCTATGGCCGGCATAAGGTCTTCAGAAATCGCACTGACATTGCACACAGATCTCAGTGCAATGAAAACAATCTTGTTGATGAATACAATCTTGTTGATAAATACAATCTTATTTCGATCGATCAGATTATGGGGTTATGTTGTAAAAACAGAAATGTGGTTGTATTTCACCTCTTGATCGAAATCCTCTTCCCGATTTTGTGGCATATCGATTGAAGAGGGTGCTGACTACCTATCAATTATTCCCATCAGAAGAGATTGATTGGAAAAGCAATCAATCATTTATCAAGACTAAGGCTCGCCATACACATTACAATTTGACTAACAATTGTCCGTTTTCCGCAAATTTTCCAACATGACCGATTAATCTAAAAGTGAAAAAAAAAAACGAAAACCGTCCGACCAATTAACCCGCTAACAGTGTGAAAATCGGCCAATTTTCGCACCGTCTATGGCCGGCATAAGGTCTTCAGAAATCGCACTGACATTGCACACAAATCTCACAATTGGTAAAACGCAGCAGTGTGACTGGTGACTTTGTTGATGAATACAATCGTATTTCGATCGATCAGATTATGGGGCTATGTTGTGAAAACAGAAATGTGGTTGTATTTCACCTCTTGATCAAAATCCACTTCCTGATTTTGTGGCATATCAATTGAAGAGGTTGCTGACTACTTATCAATTATTCCCATCAGATGAGATTGATTGGAAAAGCAATCATTTATCAAGGGTTAGGCTCACCATACACATTACAATTTGACTGTACAATCTTGTAAAATCAACTCTCGATTTAAGATGGTATCCATGTAGATGAATGTGTTTTGACTTTATGTGTTGCAAGTCGCATGATAAATCGCAGCAGTGTGAATTGGGGCTTGAGGTCACTATACAATCTTTGTACAACCAATTTATTATATCGATTTACCAAAACGATATAATAGGAGGATCAACCTAATCCAAGGAGTCAATTGGTATCAAATCAGACAAGTTCTAAGGTCGGCCATACATGGGTCAAAATTCGATCGATTTTTGGTCCAAAAATTGGACCTAAGAATAATCGGCAATTTTCGCTCTGTTAGTAGGTCAATGGCACCGGCCGATTTTCGTGGTTCCTCCCCTTTTCTGTGATTGGGCGTGCTGGAAAATTCATGAAAAAACTACCAATTTTCTACTCAATGATGGTCAAATCGTACGATCGTTTTTTTCCAAAAAGAATATGCGTATGAGCCGTGACCTGGAAGGAACAGAAGTTTCGCCTGTTATATGGGGTGACCTTTATGACTTGGTTGGCCGATTTTCGTAATCATTGATGGCACCATCGGATTACCGAGCGAACAACGTTTTTCATTTTTGGCCGAAAAATCGTTCGGGATTTGAACCATGTATGGCCTGCATAAGGCTAGGTTCACACCTATGCAGTTTGCGTTTGAGCCGTTTCTGCATTGCGTTTTGTGCTGCGTTTTTGCATCTGTGTTTTGAAGCCTTTCGCTTTTTTTTTTTTTCTTGTTGCTAGGCAGATTTAAAAACACAGCAAAAATGCATACATGCTTTTCTGAAGCATTTCCATTGAAGTCTATGGAACCAAAAACACAACATTTTGCGTTCAAAAAGTCCCTGACCCTTTCCAAAAAACGCACCGGGTGAAAATGCGGAGATGTGAACGTGTCCCATAGGAAATCATGTTAAATGGACTGTAGTGTGTTTCTGCAAAACGCTGCGAAAAATGCTTAGGTGTGAACCTAGGGTCAGCTCGGGTTCACACTTCTGCGGTGCGGCACATCACATGTGACTTGCACAGGAACCGCACCACATTCCTGTGCAAATCACATGTGAATTCTGTACGGTGCGATTTGAGCCATACATTTTGTATGGCTCAAATCACAACGAATCCACACCAAGAAGATGCAGAACCCTTTTTTTTTTTTAGTCCACACTAGAATCAGATCACATGGGTATTTACACCTATGTGATCTGATTCTGCACATCGCACTGTGTATGGCTCAAATCGCATTGCATCCACACCAAAAAGGTGCAGGACCCTTTTTTGGTCCGCACTAGAATTGGATCGCACGGGTATTCACTCCTATGTGATCCAATTCTTCACATCGCACCGCGT